TACTGTTTAATGATTAGTCTATTCGATGATATCTAATGGGAAAAACACAAAAAGATTAAAGTTTTATAGGAATATCATCATAAATCCCGAATTTTATGAATTATTATTTTCGTTTTCTCCTCATTTTCTTCTTTACAATAGTTCCCGCCATATTCTGTAGCTAATTTCTTTCAACACCCTGCTTTTAAAAAAAATACTAGTTGAAAAAGGAATTGTTCCCTTACTCCCGTATCAAAGTTACTAAGAACCGAAAACTCTCTAACGAAATTTCTCTTTATATTTTTATTGTAGGTATGAAAAGGATTTCTTATATTTTAGAAGAAGTTAGTCAGGGGTGCGATCAATATATAAACTACTAGTGGCTCTATCCATACTATCGCCATCAGTACTTCCTAGCCACCTTTCTGTACCAGATCATTAGAACTCATCGACCCTTCTATTTCCTTCACAGCTTACAATTTAAATACTCCATACAATCCCGTCTCACTAGATCTCGTATTTCCGACCTCTATCCTCCTCCTCACCGAACTGCTGTATTTGACAAATCCTCTGCCTTTCAAGCCGCTTTCCTCTGGAATTCCATTCCTACTGATATTCGACACGTAATATCAGTTTTCTCATTCATAAGTCTTTTCTTTAAACACCTACTCGTTTCTCAATCCGACTGATTACGAAATATACCTAAGAGAACTACCTAAGCACCCTCAGAGACTACTTAAATTTATTCAGGCTATTTTAGTTTCCTATATCTGTCTTATATATATATATATATATATATATATATATATATATATATATATATATATATATATATATATATATGTACAATTTTCTTGTTAATTAACTCTAATTGTAAATATATAATTTAATTATGACCACACAGACATGCAATATGTACATATAATTTGTTCTAAAGGGTCCCATAATAATAAAATATATTTTCATTTTCATTTTATTTTGGTCTATTACATAATAAGTTTTTTTTTAATTATCCAACGTTTCGACCTACGTTGTAGGTATTTTTCAGAGTATTCCATCTGGCACTGCCGAAATCAAGACGGAGATTCAGTTCTGCAACAGACTCAGCTCAGTCTCCGTTCTGCTTCCGGCAATGCTAGATTGAACACCCTGAAGAACACCTACAAAGTAGGTCGAAACGCCGGACGATTCAATAAAAAATACTATTGGGTACTATAGTATTTTATATATTGACCACACCCCCGTTTAACTTCTGCTGAAATAAGAATCTACCATCTCCACCACTAAGCATTTCTTATAAACTACCTCTTTCACTGTTCGTATCTTGAGACCTTAATCCTCATCTTTCGACTCAAATTTTTTTGTTAGATTCACTAACAGAGCCTCCTTTCCTTTGCACTAAAGGCTAAGATATCTATCCATCTTGTCGAATCTTCTTTTTCTAATCCATAAGCTTCTATTTTTTTTTATTCTCCAGGAATTCGGCTATGCGATGCTTTATTATACCGATTATTATTGCAATTGTGCCGGTGTGTGCCAAGGAGCAGGTTATTTAAACATTAGCCCAATACATGAGCTAGGGTTTCTAAATTCTGACTTAAAATTTTAAACAAAAAGCCATTATTCAATGACCGTCGGTAATAATAATAATGTTCCTTTACCTTTTCCCTAAATATTGCATAGGAAATTTTTTTTTTAAATTTATAAATCGAATTGTAATTTTATCTAAATGATTGAAAAAACTATTACTTAAATCGTGAATCGAATTATACTTTATTACAAATGATTGCTACGAAATTTACTTGATAAGTCTAAAACTAATAAATAAACATACGTTTGCTAAACTTTTACCATCTGCCCTAGTTCTGATATTGAATCTCTGTTAGCTATTTTGAAATAACGTTTAGATATTCCACACTGAAACACCAATCGAATACATCGCATGCAGGTAATTGAGATCGCACGCAGAACGAAGCCTGATTCTGAAGAGTATCCTCGGGATCGGCAATATAACGCAAGATCCACCATCATTCATTAGCGATTTGAATAATTATTGCGCAATCGTGTTCCTTCGTGAATCATCGTGATGAAATCTTCACTCGGGTCCTGTCCGATGTCGTCGCTGAGCCATCTCCTTTAAGTTCCTTTCCTTTTTTTTTTGCAGCTTGATTACTCCATTACGTTCTAACAAAGCAATATATATTTTTTCAAGTTCTTTTATTTTATTTATTTGTTTTTTGCTTGTAATGCGATTTCTTCATCGCTTTTGACACTTCAATCCTGCAACCGGTGATGAGTTAATCGAAAATAGAAAAATCTTGAGTAGCGTCGTCATTACTTCCGTGAAACAGCTAACATCCAGCAATATTTTTATATTGTTCGATGTATTATAATTTGTTATTCTTCGGAAAATCAAAATAAAATAATTTTATGAACAAAGCTTAGTTATTTAAAGTTCTAATGTGATTGAGAAAAATAAAATCAGCATGGAAATAATAAAGATCATACATATTTACAAATACAGGTAGATAGATAAATGGGGCGTGATAATCTCAATGAGTAAAGCACTGTGCTCTCATGTTCCAGACCATGTGCCACACTATGCACAGGCGGATCTACAGGGGGAGGGGGCTTTCGGGCTGAAGCCCCCCCAAAATGGTAAAATAGAACCATATTTTACAGAAAAAAAAACTAAAAACTATCTCTTAAAGTATTCTTGTTCGTTTAATTACATTTAATAGGACTTCAAGAACCACTTAAACATCATTCCTATAGGTAGTTAATTTCTTTTTTTTTTTAATCATTTTTATACTTATATGAAAAAAAATCTTTCGGGCTGAAGCCCCCCCCAAAAAAAAAAAATTAAATCCTGGATCCGCTAGTGACATTATGCGTCGTCACAAATTAAAATAAGTTTTATTTTAAATTAAGGTGGTTTAATTTAAGTGAGGTGGTGGTCATAAATAGACTGAATAATTTAAAAACTATTTTATTAAGATATTTACATAGCTTATTCTGTTTATACAACTTCTTGTTCTTAATATTTTAATGTACTTACTGTTTATAATTTTAATAAGTTTATTCACATTTTTTATAATTTGTTATGTAAATATGATGTAACTTCTACAATTCTCGGTATCTTTTTATATCTTGTCCGTTCTAGCCCTGAAGAAGACCTGCAAAGTCTGGTCGAAATGTTGGATTTTAATAAAATAGTTTTGCCACTATTTAGTCTATTTATGATCGCCACCCCGGACCATCTCCTTCCTTAATAATACAACGGTCATCTATTAATTTTTTAATTAAAATAAGTTTTCTTATTTGCGTCTTTTTTTTTCGTCAATGGCTGTACCCCTCACAATCTTTTTTTTCTGAGACAGATTATTTAAATAAAATAATAAGAATAATGGAATACACTACCTGACTAAATTAACCAAAATAGATTTTTTTGTTTTAAATTAGATGTTTAAATAGTTTGTTTAAAAAAGTTTCTCGTTGCTTCGGTTTGTTATAAATTAACTTAGTTGGCCATAAGCCCTAGGTAGAACATACATTTAACAAGCACTAGCCAAATATTATAGGATGCTATACGAAGAAATGCCATTGATTTGAAAACAAAAGGCAGAGACAATCGATTGGGATTCGTTGGATTATTTTTTGTTTGGAATGTTTTATTAAAATAATTTGGGATATCTCGTTTGGCATCGGCACAAATTATAAAATTAGAGATTTTATAGAACGGTCAATCAACTATTTTCTACAATATTTTTGATTAGATTTTTTTGGGTATTGAAGATTTTAACAGAAACCAACAGTTCTATCTCGTAAGTTCTTATGTGTTTTATTTATTTATTTATTCTTTTTTCATTAAATTTACCACTGCGTTGTAACGCATCAAGCAAATGTGTTGGAGTTTATTCTATCTTCTTGAATTCTTGATATTTTCTTAACTTTTCAGCAGAAGATCTCTAGGCCACTGCCGTTTTAGTCGTCTTTGAGGCTCAGCAGGTAACGAGGAGAAAGATAGAACGAGTGGATTTGGATGATTGAGAGTAGAAGAATGAAATGTTGAGTACTTGTTGTACTTATACAAGGATTACTAAGGATTACTAAGGATTACTTGAGTACTATATAGGATTTTACTTTTGGTTCATGGTTTTATTTATGTTCATGTCTGTGTGTATGGTGTGATTTGAAATAAACCGAAGACCTTTGACAATTTTACGAAGTATTTTGGATTGTGTGGTTTGAATTTTGTTTATGTTTGTGTGTTTTGCGGAACCCCAAAGTTCTGCTCCGTATGTCCAAATAGGTCTTAGTATGGTGGTGGTACATATTAGTCGCTTGTTTAGTAAGTTGAGTGGAGATCTGTAGTCCAAAAGATGTGACAGTTGTTTGTGTCGTCGGGTCAACTGACTAACTATTGTTTTTTTAATTTAGTGTGAATGTTCCAGGTGAGTTTGTTGTCTAAGTATAGTCCAAGATACCGTATTTTTGAGGGAACTGGTTTATTGTCTATTGTCACAGCAGGACACGAGATCTTCCTCAGGGAGAAGCTAATATGAGTTGACTATTTTATTAAAACTTTAAACAGCGATAGTCTGATGTTTAAAGACGTTTCCATGAGCCTTAAGTGCAAATACTGCATTTAACTACAGGAAAAAATTAAATTAAAATTAGATATTGATTCTTTTCTCATACGTATTTTAAGAAGTAAAAGTAGGCAAAGAAAGTAATTAAAAAAATATAAAATAAAAAAGTCAAATAGACGAGATATAAATTAAACGTATCCGGAGAAATGTCTAGAACTTTTCATTTCTAAAACGGACCAAAACCAGTTAAAAACCCTAACACAATTAAACACTCCAAGTACAAAGGATGTAGGTGTCAGGATCTTGTATTCTAGAAATTGTAGAAAACTCAATTAATGTGAAAGCTGTTACAATAGTAATCATTGACACCCGCGAATGTAATGTTGCGGGGGGAGGGTCGTGAGATTTGATATGCGGCCTGATTCACAGATGCTTGCGAGCATGTCTGGACCTGCAAGCCTCGCAGGCGGCAAATGTTGGTCGCGTCGCCTCCACGTTGCTACAAGTGTGTGTCTCTGTGGGAAAGAACAAGTGCTGGGACAAGGAAAAAGTGTCTACACTTAGTTTTTATATTATAGATCTTAGTGCCTCTGTAAAATATTTGGAGGAACACGTTTATAGGTAGATAGATAGATAGATAATATATTTATTTATTATAATATAACATAAAATTTATCCAGGGGGGTCTGGCTTCATTGGTTTTAATTAAGATTATTGATGCTACAAATTATGCACATATTAACAATATATAAAATTATATATTAAACAACAATATAAGAAATTATATTAATGTAAAAATTGTTACAGTATTTAATTTAGAAAAAAATAGTTTCCTCAACAAACTTGCCGCCGAATGCACAGTAGAGACGGGTTCGCAAAAAAAAAAAATAAATAAATAAATAAATAAAAAAAAAATTAAAAAAAAAAAAAAAAATATAAATAAATAAAATAAAATAAAATTCATGAAGAATCAATTAAATAATTAAATATTACTGATTGTCTGAGAGGCGCCTCGCTATTCAATTTCTTGATTTTTGGATAAAAGCAAAAACCAATATATATATATATATATATATATATATATATATATATATATATATATATATAAATATATTTAATTTTTAAAACATTTGGATGCGGAGCGAGGCTACGAACTCGGAACCTGTGGGTTTAAAAACATAGTTAGTTAACCTTGCAACCTATCGGACCTTCTTACTTGGTTAACATTGATTTTCTATAATCCCAAAAAAATAGAGTGGATAGATGCAAAGTGCTCTTTGGCCGCTACACCAATGGTCTTCATCGAAAGATCTTCTTTGTGGATGAGAACATATTTACAATTGAAGAAAAATTTAATCCCCAAAATGATATTGTGTATGCATACAGTTCTAAAGAAGCCCAGGAAGTCTTTGGAAGAGTGGAATGAGGTCATCACCCTTCCTCAGTGATGGTTTGGTGAGGAGTTTGCTTTGATGGTGCCATCAAAACTTCATTTTTATGAAAAAGGAGTTAAAACTATCAGAACAATATTTTAGAACCTGTTGTCAAGTCTCTAAATGATACTCTGTTTGCTGGAAGTTAATGGGTTTTCCAGCAGGATTCCACTCCAGCTCACAAGCCATGTCAGCAGTGGCTGCAAAAGAACATTCCAGAGGTGATCTCTACCTCGGATTGGCCCCCAGGAAGTTCTGATCTCAACCCACTAGATTATCGACTTTGATCCGAACTGGAGAGGATGGCATACCACAGAGCACACCATAATTTGGAAAACCTCAAACAATCTCTGGTCCGAGCAGTTTAGTTCTTTCCTCAAGAAGTTCATGGAGATTAAATGCCTGTGTCAAGGCAAAAGGAGGACATTTTGAGTGATTTCTTTTTTTGTCTTACTCTCTATAGATACACATTTTATTTTCTTATAAAGTTTTTGAAAAATTAAATTTTTCTGTTGAAATTTGTATATATTTCTTTGTAACAATACTTATAACAACCTACCAACTAAGAAGTGGGTTGCTTAGGTTGCTTTGGATTCGTTCGTGTGACATCGTAAATGATTCGATGGATTCAATAGCGATAAATACATACGAATGTAAGTTGACAATTATTCGTGGCATAGAGATCGAACATTACAGTTCTTTATGCCTTAGTATTAATATTTTTTACAGATTAGTGAACATGTCATTAATATGAAAATTGTCTGAGGGACGCTTATAAAAATTTCATAATCAAATAAAATTAATATCCTAAGTACATGTTATTATTATTTATGAGCGTTTTCATTTCGTTTAACGGATATGTATTGTCCTTAAACATAACCAACTAAAAGAAACTTTTTCATATGTTACATTAATAAGTAAAATGCATCTGTCAACTTAATAAATTGTAATTTTCAGTCCCTGGAGATTAAAAAGAAGGTTCATACAACAAATTTGACAAGTCTTTTGAAAGGTTCAATCAGATATGCCTTTAAAAGTATCGGTATATGTTATTAATAGCAATATTTAATCATTAATTTTCAAAATAATTTTGTAAAATTTGTTTTCCTGTAACCAAACCTGCCTGATTTTAGGTTCAATTAGACGCTTTGTACCTTATCAACTTACGCAATCATCCCCATCTTGCCATCATCATCTTAACGAGACAAAAAACTTTCTTTGTTATCATGTGATAAGCCGAAAGATGATCCTCAGGACTTGACTAAGTGCTGTGAGAAACTTTCCTTGCTCTGAGGACTATTATTAACAAAAGCTACTTAAGTTTCTCTTCTATTGATCGGTTTGAGCATTATATTTTTTCCATTACTTTCTCTTCCCCTCGTATTGATGCAGATATCTAAACTTTTTTCTGTTTAATAAATTATAATCAGTATGCAAAATTCTACATATAATTAAACTGATATATCAAGTACAATTGAGTAAAAAAAAATGTTGGTAATAAACATTTTTATACATCATTTTTAGTTTTCTCAAAACGTTCAATAATTTACCTAAATTTAATTTACCTAATTATTACTTATTTTAAATTAATTGAATATTTTTGAAAATGTTTACATTTCTGGTTTAGTTATTATTTTGTTATCAATACTTATTCCACTTGCAATTACACTGTTTCAGAGGTTTTATCTATGATTTACCTATAAAGAAGTTTAAAGTATATATATTTTTTCATTCAATTGATATACAATGATTAATAATAAATAATTATTTTTGGCTAATAAGACAAATCATTAACTATGGTTTATAATAAAACAAATATCAGTCAAAGCCTCCCCATACAGATATATAAATTTTAAAATTTTAATATTAGTTAATATAATCTTTAGAATTGTTATTTCTATATATTTAAAATGGCAGACTTCAAAATGGCACTAGTGCTGTCCGAAACCTTGTCTTCTAAAATTTTATCTATTTATTTATTCAAAAATATAACAATCTGTCACGCGGACAATAATTACAATGATGTATGAACACATTCACGTCATTTATACAGAAAACATAAAATAAACAAAAGCAATTTAACAACTAAATAATAATCAAAAGGTATATAATAAAAAATTAATAACGTAAAAATAACTAAATTAAAAATATAAAAACACAGTCATACAATCAGGCAGGAAACCCCAAGCCAGGGTTATACCTCCAAACAGAGAGGGAAAAGCGGAACTCCAAGAGATCCCCGAGCTTCTCTCTCAACCGTGTCACTGCTGCTAAAGTCAGTGGAGATTGAGCTGGATAGGGATTGTGCATGGGGATTTGGATGATTTGTAAGGTTTTAAAATTTTTTTCAGAGATGATGTCTAGGACAAATGGGATATTGTGGTCATGATGTAGGGTTTTGCTGGTTACATAGAACGGAGCATCAACGGAGGACTTTGGACTGAAAGGATTGGATGAGTTTGTTGTTAAAAAATTTTGCTGTCCCTCAAAGTTCCAGTCCGTAGGTCCAAATAGGTTTCAGGATTGTATTGTAGATCAGTAATTTGTTGTCAATTGAAAGTAGAGATTTTCAAGTCGGAAGTCTGCATAGTTGGCCATATTGTCTGTTAAGTACTTATCTTTTAAGTTTAGTAGGTAGATTACATGTTGGTCTTCGGTCTAAGAGAAAGCCAAGATACCGGACTATGTGTTGGTTACGATTAAAAAATAATTTCCTTTTACCAATAGTGAGCAGAAGAAACTAGAGAACCATAAATAGAAAATATCGATAGAGAAGTGAAATAAATTATCATTTTCCATTTCTTCAACTATCTTTATGACCCATTTACCCATGTTCTCAATTCTAGAGGATGCACCATGACATTCCTAACAGTACAGTTCTTAGATCCAACATGGTTATTACTAAACATTACGCGTAGAGAGCTCATCTTATAAGGTAAACTCAGGAGAAGCATAACGAGAAGCGATTCGTGTCACGTGGCGGTTTTGAGAAAAAATTTATTTTTTTTCTCATAAAAAAGTTGAGCCGGATGCGTGGAATACGAGCCGAGATGCAGACAGAAATACTGATGGCCTCTAAATCGTATCTATGACAGAAGGCACAGATTCACAAGATATGATAATCCTCGAGCTTGTTTTCCTTTTGTCTTCCTCAGATGAATCCGGAAGAGGCCGGCGTATGATAAACTGGACGTCAGTATCTCGTAGGTATCTCCTTTCGCTGTTTGCATTAGTGTATCTACCTTCTACTTCTTGTAGATTGTCTTCAGCAGATATCCTTGTAGATATCCTGGCACCCGCGTGGAGCTTTGACTTCATCATATCTCGTTGAAAACACTACATGACAGTAATTATACTATAAAGGCGTAATCTTATATGCGATGATTTTACTGTGATTACATACTCAAGTGGCGCTGAGGTACTTATCTTGTCTCGTGGTTTAAATATATTTTTTATCTCGATTTATTTATTTAAATGTAGTATTTATCATTTTTTTTTTTTTTTTTTACAATATATGCTAAATAATTAGGGAGGGTGCGCAGGGGGACCCAGAAGGGGGTTTCATGGCGCCAAATCGTGCCATTAAAATTTTTGAGGAGGTACACGTTTTGGCAGGATTTTGAATTTTTATGGAGGGTACATTTCAACGGGATTATGAATTTTCGGAATGATAAGTTTCGAAACAAGGGAGAAGGAGGAAACATAGAACAGAATGTAAGTGTGCCATGATCTAAAATTTATTTTGAATTCTACTTTTGCTTGAATTGTTGTTAAGAAAAAGATAGCGCTTAATTATCTCGGGGTGGGGATGGGCACCTCTGAGCCGGCGTTGTTACTTAGTGGAATCTAACAATGTGAGTCCACCCTTAAGCTATTTGAATCATAGTCTTCTTTTCTTCGATAAATATGTGATTTTAAATAGACTTTATTCTTGTAGAAGTACTATGTAAAATATGGAATCCGTATTAACGGTCTTAAAGGGAAAAAATAATTTGAAAGAGAGATTTCCCTAACTAATTATTGAACTGAAATGTATTATAAAAAAGTTGAACAAGGCATGTGGGTTACATTTTATTGTTTCGCATGAGGTTTTTAAAAAACAAAAAATTAAATAAAAATAATGATAATTTATAATGTCATGGCCAGTGGAGTAACTAAGATCGATTGGACCACTAGGAAAACATTAAAAATACTCTTTATGACAATTTATAAACGTTTTCCCCGTCATATTTGAAATATTTCACACCAAAATTTCAATAATTTAGAAGTGATTATCAGATATTAAGAGTTGAAGAACTGTTAGGACTTAAGTAAAACAAAATCGATAAGCCTTCTTTAATAAAATAGCTTATACGATTTGGTCTATAAAGTTGAAGGAAATTTGGCGGATAAATGATGCTCTGGTATTCAGAGATAATATAGATTTTTTAATAAGGATTTTATAATTCATCCATCTCTCATGTGCTCCTCGTATTTTCACGTGATATTCTTATTATATTTTCTGCAGTTAAGATAAATATATATATATATATTAATAAGTATAAATAAGAATATATATTTTTTGGAGAATGTTTTTATATAACTATTCAGATTGTGAAAACATGATATTTTTATTTTGATATAGTACAAACTAAGAGCAAATATATTTAACAGTTTTTAACATTTATTTTAAACTGGAAAAATTATATAAATATAAATATGTTCTGGAGGCGAAAAAAGATATATAATCGATCGTATTGCAAATTTTATCAGTTTTAATTTTGTATAGAACATCTTTTCGATGCGGTGGATAGTTTCCTTTATATAAACGAAAACTCGAAGTACAGCAATAAACATGAGACAATTTTTTTTTCTTCAATATTAGCCGTAGTTAAGGGCGCATATGTCGAGAATAAAGCGAGATAGCGAAAAAAGGCATATAATCAGTCAAATTACAAAATTTTGTCAGTTTCAATTTTGTTAAGAACGTCTTTGTCGTGATGGATAGTTTTCCTGATAAAAGCGAAAAAAGTGACCTTCAAGATGCCTCCCCCACATCTGACTCACCACCTAGGAATGGGGACTTTTAATATGTTTACATCTTTACTAGTGCAAAAAATATTCCAAAGTCAAAAGTTATGTTCCCCGCCATTTCCTTCTATACCCTCTTTTCGAGCATTCATTGACTGGACTAATCGTGGTCAGTAAACATATGATATTAGAAGGTTATATAATTTTTTAAACTTAATATGGTTTATTAGACGTAATTTTATTGGGATG